TTATTTCGAAGTTTAATCAAGGCCGCATTGTGCCAAGGTACTTTATACTGCTTCTTCGTTACCAGAGGAATTACACTTTTACAAACGTTTACGACAGTGTCAAGATGATGGAGCAAGCTGTCCCAATTAATGCTCAACAAGAGATTATTCAATTTCAAAAAATCGCATCGCTTAAAATTAAAAGAGAAACTTGAATTAACATTAATAGTTTTAGGATATTCATACAACTCAAGATCGAGAACTAGAGGTACATGATGCATATCCGATTTTATAATAGCTAAATTACATTCATTCAAAGAAAAAATTTACACTTCTACTTAAAAAAATTTGATCTAAAGTGTGCTCAAGTTTATTCTGAAAAGAGTTAATTGGCGTAATATCGATACTTAAAAAGCTATCCACGAACAATCACGTTATTAGGCCACAGCTCGGGCAGTAATAGCTTCGAATTAGTTTTGGAAATCACGCCCACCTTGAAGTTAACACTCTTCAGAGTTGTAGGATCAACACCCTTTTTTATTAGTATGTAACAATAGATAGAGTTTTCCTGAATGCCAGCATGCTTAGCAATATATTTTTTGAGATGACCAGTGGTAACTGAGGACGAAAAGGGCGAAATGTGTAACCATCTCATTTTCGTTTTTGATACAACACTTAGTTCATTATTGTAGCTTGATCCAATAACTAAAGGTTGTTTCAGCTTACGTCTGTTATCCTTGGGAACAGTTTTCCACATGGGGCTTTTATCTACATACATTCGGCGTAGAAGCATTGCATTATGGACAAGGGGCATAGGGGACGAAGCTGGTACATGAGCAGCAGCACTAACATAACATCTTATCCTGTTATATCCAGTATGAGACGACCCCCTTTTGGAAAAACAGATGCCATTTCCGAAGAAGTTATCAGTCTTTTGCGTGAACCAACTCAAAACGCATCAGTTTTTGTTGAAAGTGACAGAGATGAGTGAAAAAATATTTCGTCATTTCTATTTTAATTTGTTGTCTGTAATATTAGTTAATACAGGGTGTTTGGTAGACGTTTGAACATACGTGGGATGGTGATAGTTGGGGCCATCTGCTATGTGTTCCTCCCAGAAATTTCAACTAGGCCCCCAAGGTTTTATATTTTTTTTAATTTCTCATTTACAAAAATTCAAACCTGAATAACGTTATTTAAAAATGAGAATACTTTAGTTTTGGAAATCACTAATTCGGTATAAAATAAAAAAAAATCTTAAAAAATTGTTTGGGCTGAACATATAGCAGGCGGACCCAACTATCCCCCATTTATAAATATAATTATTGTTATTAATCCATAATTTGATCATAAATTCATTTTAAATATGTTCGATCAAATACAATAAATCAGTAATTTTGTTAATAAATATTTTGTGTTACTCGACTAAAAATGACAGTTGATTTGACAGATTTCAACTGAAAACGTTTGAATGTAATACAGAACTCGAGACCAGTGAGCCTTCAAACCTAGTACGTTAAATTCTTGGGAAATTCTCCTTATTTTTAGAGAAATTGACAGCCCATTCGACATCTGTCTAATCTCAGGGTTTTTATTTCACGTAAAATTCATGAGTAGCGTGTCTAAAACCCTTACCAGTAGCATTTAAAAAACATTTTCTTATTACCAGAAAAATTAACAGTCAATTTGACAGCTGTCAACTCTCAAAGTTTTAATTTGACGTAAAATTCGTGATCAGCATGTTTAAAAACCTTATCAGTAACGTTTTTAAAAAGATTCTCTGATTTTTATAAAAATTGGCAGTCCGTTTGACAGCTGTCGCCTGTCAAACTTTTAATTTGTAACTAGCGTGCCAAAAAACCTAATAAGTGGTATTTTCAAAAAGATCTTCTTATTTTTAGAGAAATTTGCAATTGATTTGACAGCTGTTAACTGTCAAACTAAAAATTTTATGGCATATTCAGATTTAGCATAACAAAAATACTACGATGATGCATTGTTATTATAAGCGTAACAGCTCTTCTAATTTTTCGCGCCTAGTAGCTCAAATCCAGAAAAAAAATATTAATTGCCACACACAAGATTTTTATAACAAATGTTGAATAGCATTCCCTCTATGCACCTCTATGCAGGGTGCTTCTGTAAAAACGTATGTGTACGTACGCGTGAAGACTTCCATGGTCATCCATAGTCTGGCTATATTGCGCCAAATTTGCAATTATAAATATTTATTTATTTACATGTGTGTATGTATTTTCTACTAGCCATGCATTACCCTCAAACTTTTTATGTGCCCTTTGACTTTTGATCAAATGGCTTTTTGCCATATGCGTGCGCTTAAGTGACCCGCATGCCAAAGTTGTTGAAAGCAAAGTCAGCAAATTAGTTGCATTTGCATTTTAGAGCAACTTTGGGGAATATTAAAGAAAAATAAACATTTTATAAATAATTTTACAATAATAAATAAGAAGTGCGTACATACATACCCTTTCAGAATAGATATGTATGTATATCCACTTTTATGCATCCATCCGTGAAACTAATTCAAATAGTTCTTTATCGCATTCAACTTTTAACAAAACACACTTCATTTGTTGTCCTTTCACCAAATTGGCTTCAATGTCCTTGTTTTCATCGAATCGCACAGCGGTTTCAAAACAAGTCTCACTTTCACAATGCCACAATAAAGCAAGAATAAAAAAACGTGAACTGAAAAAATTAGGCGGTTGTTATATCACCGCACGCGACGCACACGTTTCAACTTTCACTGGCTGCTTTCATTCGTCCTTCTGCCGCTGCTGCTCCGGCTACCGCTACATGCATACATATGTATGTATGTACATCCTTGCAGAAGTACACAATCAAGTCCTTTCGCTTACTGCCTCCTTTGCTGACGCGTGAAAGTACTAACAACAAAACGCTAGCAACAAAGCAGAAGTCAGCTTGCAGCTAACAGCAACGCGTAGTATTTTTACGCATTCCAAATTGCAGACACACGCAAACGCTTTTACTACCTACACTTGCACAATTTCGTTTTAATAAAATTTTGCTTACACAGCTTTTATAGTTTAAGCTTTGTTGCGGCTTTAAATTATTTTAGCAGCCATTTCATTTTTATTTTTGTATTTTTAATGCTTTCGTTTTTGCTTTTGCTTCATTTGATTTATTGTAGTTTTTGTTTGTTGCTGTTCTTTATCGCTGCTTAATGTTGTTGTTTTGCCGTTTGAAAGTGAAATGTTTGAAATGTGGAAATATGCAACGAATTTAAAGCAAAGTTGGAAAACGACTACGCCGACGACGACAAGCTGAGCTGAGCTGAGTAAGACGAACTGAATTTTTGGTCAGCACGGTAGACAAGCAGGCAGACAGGCAGCTAAATAAGCAGGACTCATACGAGTTTGCATGTTTTGAGTGAGAATTTGAGCTTCAAATGCAAGCACTGATTGAGTGAGCGCGTTTTAGGATGTGTATTTTGAGCTCTACGGAACTAAATAGCTACATATATGCAGCGGGTGCCACAACGAAATTATGGTTGCACATGGTTTACTAGAGGTTGGCGGTAGTTCTCGGTGCGAAACAAACTTTTGGGTCTCCGATAAGGTTTCATGAAAATGAAACAGTCAAAGCCCAAAACCCAAAACCGACTGTTTAAGACTTTACCCGAAAATAAAGCGCCAACCGAGAGAATTTTGGTGACGAAAATTTAGAGTAACGATTGCCAAAATTCCACTACCGGTATCCTCAAGGCTTAAACTCCAGAGACTGGAAATGCGAACCGAAATAACTCCGGTTAGCGGTAGAATCTGTCTGGGTGGATTGTCACCCATCATTTGTTTTTTTATTCCACTACTCGTGAACTGTAGTACAGAATACAAAGAGAGGCGGTTGCACTCTGAATTACTCTGCTGAAATGGTTTGCCGAGTGCGTTAAGCCTCATCGTTGCGAGGGCTGGACATTCGCGCAGAAAGTGTTCGACTATCTCTTTTTAGCCCGGGCCCTCACAGTTGTGACAGAGCCTATTGAAGGGTAAGCCAATATTTTCGGCAAGTATCGCAACGAACCAGTGCCCTGTGTACTCTGCAGTAAGTTTGTGGGTTTTTTTTTTGGTCACTCCAAAAAGAGCCCTGGTTTTAAGTGAGTCGTAGGACACCCAGAAGCCTCGTACTCCTATACGATCATGTACGTTTCCATCTCTGTCTAGCCTTCGAGCGATAAGTTATGGTCTGATTATGCATACTTCGCATAACTTCGCACAACTTCGCATAAACTTCAAACGGTAATTTCGTATGTACTTTGTGTGCATTCCATTACCTAGCAAAACTTTTTAAAACTTAGCGATTTGTTGAGTTTAGATTTTGCTTCACATATTCTTAAGTTAAATTTTAATTGCACTGGTACAAATGGTTGTGCGAAGTTATGCGAAGTAGGCATAATCAGACCTTTACGGCAATTCTGACTACGATCTCCCTGAGCTAGACCCATGTCCACCGCACATGGGACACACTCAGTGCGGAGCCGCACCTTGTTGATCGTCCGCTGCCTTGTTTCCCTAAATGTCCCAGGACCCATATTAGGGTAATTTCGTTTTGATCAGAAATAGAGGCCAGCTCTATCCTACAATCCTCTACTAGTTTAGATCTTATGGAGGTGGTAGAGAAGATATTCACCTGCGTTTTCGGGTTCTGCGTTCTCCTTAATTAGAAACGTTTCGACCTAAAAAGCTGTTGCACATTCTGGTAGGTGAAAGGATAATTTTATGTTGTTCAACGAATGCCCCTACTTGCCTTTACTGGCACGTTTCCTGATGTTGTCTGGAAACCGAGTCCGTCATCGACTATCGCTCCCAATTATTTGAGTTGCATGGTATGGCACTCTGCCATACATTGCGGAGCTAAATCGTGGACGTTCTTAATCGAATATACTCCATCTCTTTAGTAGAAAGAAAGACAATTTCCAGAAAATCCGTTCCCAGCTTATCAGCATTAATGAAGACTGACCTGATTAGACGCATGGCCCTGATATTGACTCCCGAAATCGTACGGATGATCCAAATGACTTATAATGAGTTGTGTTAAGCTGCTGCGGCTAAAGGCTGGTCCCTAAATCCACCCCTCGACGAAATACCGAGAGGTGGTGCGAGGAAATGGTTCATCCAATTGTTTTCATACATGAATACCTAAGATAGCATCTAAACCTTCTTTACAGTGAGACAAGGCATCCTGAAAAAGGACATAGAAAATACGGGAAGAGAACATACTGAAATTGTTAAGATTTATTTTTCTTGGCACGCTGGTAGTGATCGATAACGTCTAACACTTTCTCTGCCATTGACCTGCCTTAACTAAGCCTAGACGATGATGTTATCAATCATTTCTATTGGTTATAAATATTTCTAGGCATACGTTCGTAATCAACTTCGACTCATGCAGGTATCACAATGGACCACCAGCTCTCTGTGCCTAGAACCTAACCTATGCCCTGCAGCGAAATTTATTAAAATTTTATAAATAATATTTAAAAGAAAGTGGATATTCTAACGTTTATATATGTTTACCGTTACCTGATAACTGAGTATTGCTCAAGTAGTATTATAGTTACCTTATACACCTACACATCAGAGGACCTGCAGCAAAACCGTTCCTATTTCTTTAATAAAAACAAAGTCCCCAAAAAACTGTTCACATTTTTGAGTGATTAGATTTTTTCACTCAATATTGTCTTGCTCAATTATTTACGCATGCGCAGCGAAATCTCACTCAAACACTTTCGCTCTTCATTCATTTAGCCGCAACAATAACTTTCTCTTTCAGCGAAGTCCTTTTCGTCGTCACTCAAAACAAAAACATGAATGAATGAAAAATGAAAGACGAAGCCGATATTTTTATATTTAAGTATATAGTTACGTATGGAGCTTTGTGGGGAAAGACGACTCCAATTTTCCGCCTTAAATTTTTTTGCAAAGTCAAAATAATATTCTCAGTATGAGGGTGAGTGCAAGGATGTATGGGCGTGCGATTTCTTTGATACGGTGACAGCAGCAACAACAATAACATTCAATAACAACAACAACAAAACCATTTGTTTACCCCTATAGCTACATATGTATATTACAAAAACACGGTGAGAAAAGCAGGCGTGTACTGCTTTTGCTGCCAACATTGTAAGGAGTGGCAATGAATCTGCGAAATTAAGCTACAACGATTTACAATTTAATGCGCCTCATAAAAAGAAAACATATCCATCACTTTAAAGCAGAAATGGCTGAATATATGTGGGGATGAAATAAATAATGCCCGGTGGAGCGGGCGTACAACACAAAGAAAGAAAAGAAAAACAGTTTGCATTACGGTTGACTGAGCTCTTGATTAAGTGGTAAGTCGCGCGCGCTATATCCTCGCACAGGAAGTGCTGTACCCTGGTTTAACTGCCTTCAATAGGATACAAGAATGGCGTAACAATTTTGTTATTGCGACACGTTTTTTTCCTGTAGTCCGCCGACACATTCGCGCACTCACTCCTTCTCGTGCTTCCACTATTAGAAACCGCAGACTTTGGTTGTCTTTGTCAACCAACATAGCAACGAATATTCGTTCGTCATGCTCACCTTGAAATTGAATTTGTGTCCCAGTGTCTAGTTACACACACAAACACAAACACACAAACGTGTTTGATGCTTTTGTTTCCCAACATCCAGCCAGCCACAAAGCTGCCCACTGAAAAGTAAGCTACTTTATTTTTAAGTTTTTTTGCTATTTCATTAGTGAACTTTCTATGTGTGGCTTTGGCCAGGACGACGTAAATATAACCTTGAGCATTCATTTTTTTTAGTGAATAAAATTTTAAAATTTTGTCCGCTAACCAACCATCGAATCCAGCCAGTCAGTCAGTCACAATTTCATTTCATAGCTAACATTAAACTAACCTTGAACTTTTTTTGAAAGTTTGTTGCAAAAAAGTGGCATCTGAAATTTATTTGATATACTAGCGAAAGCGTGAAAAAAACATGCGCTTGGCAGTTTGGCCTTTTTTTAGTTTATTGTATGCCATTGAGGCACGTGGCGCATGTTGCACGTTGCAAGTAATTACAATTCGTTTTTAATTAATTCAATAATTGTTATTAATTATGTTTGCCAAGTAGTATTATATTTACTCGGAAATTTGACGACGCGAACCATAAAAAACTCAATTGAAAGCATTGCTTTTACTCCAACAAAAGCGGAGGTCAGTAAACTTTTGAGTAGAATTTTATTTAACAGAATTAAATGAAGCATTTCGTAGAAGTTTTCTTTTGGTAAACGTAGGGCGGCTCGAGAGTAGCTTTTAGGGAATTTTTTCTTTCAGAAAGTTTAGAAAACCAAAAAAAAATCTGGAACTTAAGAAAATTAGGATTTTTTGATCACGTGATAAGCATGTGATGAAAAGTCATGTGATATGTTAGTCACTTGATTTGAGAACTATTAAGGCCCATATCTTCGTGAGTATATTTCGTAGGTTTTGAAATTTTTTGGTTTTTGTCGCACGGCGTTATTTAAGGCCATATGATTAAAAATCATATGATGATGATCGTATCCATTCAAATTGCTGGGATTACTGCTATAGATCCTTTTCCTGTTACTTCATTTAAATCAACCAAAAATGTTTTACTCTTTAATCTTTTCACCCGCAAAATTCATACTCCTCATTTGCACAATTCCCATTCCAACGCCAGCTGTTCGTAAGTGATGAATTCCCACAACACTTAGGGGCCGCTAAAACCGGAAATTTAATAAGCAAGCGAAGAAAAACTTGACACACATATTTAATTGCTTAGGTACTTATTTATGGGTATATGAGTCAAAAACTCTGTTGATCAACTAAGTATGTGTGAGTGCATTGATATTTTTCATATGTGGCTTAACACACATAAATAGAGTAAGTCATAGCCGAATCGAAAAGTATATATGTCATACCACCTACGCTACGTACCATCCAATTGTGATTAGTTACCATTGCTTTTATTCTTTGTTTTTCGACTCATCCTTTTCTCTCTCTTTCTCTTCGAGTACTACATTTTCTCTTGCCGTAGAAACTTGAGAATTTTCAAAACTTTTGTTGTGCCGCTATTTTTGCAGCCGGTT